GGGGGGGGGTCCTCATGGAAACAGAAATTGCCTGTTTTTTTTTTCAAATCAAGAATAAATATTATTACCATTTTTCTGACCACCATATAGTAATAGAAAGCATTACATTACTGGTTTTTGCCCTTCCATTGAGTCACGATCGAAACTCTGGGGAAAGTCAGAACTTCCTGTACTACATGTTACAGTCAGTACCTGTTCTTTACACTGAGTCAACAAACACTCACCTTGCCGCAGGGCTGACCTTTGACCTGTTCCTGTTTTCGTGCCACTCATTGTAGTTGGTGTACAGTAACTGTCATGTCTGACAAGGAAATAAAGTACAAATAACTAAGACTATATATACAGCAGTGCCTATCTACTAATAGTGTATACACAGTGTACAAAAATTAGGTTGCCCATCAAAATTTTAGGTTGCCCCAACTATAAGTTACTACTAGTAATTAGATTCTTAAAATTCAGGTAGCACACTGAGCTACCAAGGTTCAAAAATAGGTTGCCCCAAGTAAAATTTGGTTGCCCGGGGCAACTGGGCAACCAGGTATTTTGCACGCTGATACATAAATATATACTACTCTCTCCTGTAAGATAGACATGTTGACAACATTGTTGTTGTTGTTTGTTGTCTAGAGACAGTGATACTTTTCTTCCCATCCAGTTTGTTTACTAAGAAAACAAAATGGAGTAAAACTACACATGCCTATTCATTATACATGAACTCTGTACCTGATTTGGCCAAAAGTACGTTAAGAATACATGTATCACTATCAAATCAAACTTTTGCTTTAAGATATTAACTAATTTATGTAGTTGAAACCATATTTTTTCTCTAAAACAAGGATAAAACTAGAATGGTATATGTTGATTAATTATTATCCACAGTGTCTGATCTTCAAATTGTTAACTCTGTGAACAAGTGAGTTTTGAAATTACTGTGACTAAATTGAGTTATACTTTATAGCCTAGATGGGAGACCGTAGCATGAAAGGCAATATACCAATCCCTTGATTTGATTTTGATTTGATTTTTTTTTCTGCCATTGCGCCACACGATCCCCAGGGTTCTAGCTAGCACAAAGTAGCGTAGGTTTAAATTTTGACCCCATACACTAATTCCCCCCCCCCATGCTAAAATTTTTGACCCCCTACACTAAATTTCCCCCTATGCTAAAATTTTTGACCCCCAACGCTAAACCCCCCCCCCCCTACACATACAGCATAGGGACATTATATCATTGTGACTGTATTTCTTTGTTCAAGAATGCCAAATCAAATGTGGAAAATTACCAATCAAGGATACATTGTACATACCTTAAATTAGAAATAACATTTTTTCCCTTTGAGTATCCCTCAAATGGCAACCTTTTTAGCTCAAATTTTTAAAAGCTCCACACCGCGAAAGGAGAGCCCATCGACAGGCGGCCAGTACCACTACACATCCTAGCTAGAACCCTGATCCCACATCTGATCCCTTCAACTAGACCATTGCTTTGGAGGAAGAAAAATTGTCCCTACCCGGAATTAGCCAAGCCTTGGAGCTAAGGTAAAATTCTCTTGATACCCTGGGCCTGTGCACCTACCCACCACCATCCCACCAAACAGTCTGACAACCAGGCTGAATCAAGTTAAAACAACTGGTAGATCCACTTGAAAGTGAAACAGACTTGTTGTGTCACAAATATGGCAAGTATAAAAATAGAACAGCCAGTCTGGTACTTTTTAGTAATCTTACCCACCCTTTTGTCAATAATTTTAAGCAAGTCAGGAGGTTTCAAGTGCTACCAAGGCCAAGGAAAAAAATGTTGTTTTCCTGATCCTATTTTAGGGAAGGAAGGGATTATCTTTTTTCTTTCTTTTTTTTTTAGACTTCATAGGGGTCCAACTTATACAATACAGTTTAAAATAACAAAGTAAAACTTGCAGGAGGACAATTTGTGTCAATGTTAGAAAACCAATTGTACAACTTTTTATAACTCAGGTGTCAGATAATGGAGCTAGAGAAGGTTGATCAGTTCAAAAAATTTATGTCCCTTGCAGACTAGGGGTCCACCCCCTTAAAAAAGTCTAGGGTTGGCAGGTTTTTCTAGGGTCGGTCGGGAAACAAGAAACACAACATTTTTTTTCGTAGGCCCAATTAACTTGTCTGATGGGTCCTGATCTTTTCGGCCTAGCAGTTAGGGCACTGACTTTAAAGTCACAGTAGTAATGTCTATTGATATTCAAATAATGTTCCTGTTGATTTCATTCATTATGTGAGTGATGTATGGTGGAATATTTCAACCTCTCGTGAAATATTTGCATTGTGAAGATCTGACATTTTCTATTCTCCAATTTGAAGCAGACTTTACTGTATTGACTCTAGAGGATCAGTATGTTTGGCTACAAATTTGATGCCATGTTTACTGTGCACTTAAAGTTTAAGTACACTTTAACTTAAGGCCATACCGACTTAATTTTATGGATGACATCCGCACGCGCATTGATTTAAGTCTGTTCTAAAAAAAAAAAAAAAATCACGTCATCCGAGGTTCTGGCCTGGATAGTCTATGGTAGCTTACTATATAGCAACAGTACGGAGCCGGTGGTAACTCTGAAGGATGGCACCCAGGCTACCAAAGCTCCACGACTCAAGAACTCAGTACATACTCAGTACAACTCAGTTCATAAAAATGAATGAAAATGAATACGTACAGTGTCGATTCATAAATCCGCAAAAAAAAACAGCATGTGCCGGCTTGTCGTATATGTCGCTATGTTCTGCCACAAATTCACAATACCAGCTTTGCCTAAAATGTATTCCTGTGGTTTAGTAGCATTTTTATTTTTGGTCGGATTTTTATTTTATTCGCCCGCGCGCACTAGTTTGGGGGTCTTCAGAGGCCTAAGTTAAATCCTTCTTCTGGTACATTCTGAGTACACAAGTTGATTGGACATGCTCTCCAAGAGACACTTTCATCAGCATCACACAAGCACCAAGAGTTAAATACCTAGATAGAAGTTAGAGAGACAATTTGACTGTGAATTGAACCAAGCACAAACCAGCACCAAGAGACCATGTCTCACGAGATATAATAATACCTCAAATAAGGACAACAACTGAACTATAATGATACACAATCCTACCACCTGTAAGAGTACAAAATTACTTATAAACTTATCCCAGATACCCAACTCTATGGGGGCCCGCAAGCCCTTTTCCGTAGAGCGTAATTGGCCGTTTTAATTCTATGTAGAGTGTAGACGGACCGCTCTAATATTTTTGCATAGAGCGTATTCGGCGTTTTAATTCTACGTAATGCATGGAAGCCACTTGGAATTTATCGTAAAGCGTAATCGAGAGGTTTCCGAATTCAGCGTAGAGCATTGTCGGGACCCCCCCTTGCAGGCCCTCCTCTAAGCCTGTTGATCATGAGGGCAACTTTAGCAAGAAAAGATGTCAGCCTATTTGGGGATTTTGTAGAGCCAAATGTATCCAAATCAATAAATATAACATAAACATTTCATAAAAAATGTCTGACATACTATACACAACATTTAACATTACAAACGCACTGGTACTGTGACACAGGGCAATGGTTGACGTGACTGACTAACTGGAAATATCAACCAAGAGTGACTGCAAATAATGTTAAATGTTACCACTGATTTTCACATAATTTATTAAACATTAGTCAGAATGACCCCCCCCCCTCTGCAAATTTCATGTCTGTCTGATCATTAAAATCAAGGCTTCTGTCTGCAACTCATTATTAATTATAATAACCAAGCAACTGCAAATATCGTCTAAACAAGGTGCCAAACTTCCAAATTCTTTAAAAATACTTGAATCACAAATACCATGTTTGTCCACATTTGATAAATCATGTAACCTAAACGTTAAAATGCAAAACTTTAACGTGGACAAGTTTTGACACTGTTTGACGATAATTCTGCATATTTCTGGGTGTTATACGAACAGTAAACTTGTAGTTTACTTACCATCGTAATGTTGAGAGCTGAAAACGGGGATGGACTAGCCCCTGACATTGGACTTGGCAGAGATAAAAGACGAAACAACGAGTTTCGAGCTCTACATTTTGGGTTTTGCCAAACCCGGAACTAAGTCAGGATGTGACGTCACCAGTTTCACTTTCCCTTATATGGTAACGTCACGTGATCAGAGATGGCGGGTGAAACTTCGGGGGTTCCCGGATGACGCGTGGGAAAAACAGGGACATTCAGAATGTGACGCGGAGAATTCAACTGAAAATCGCAATTTGTTACTTGGATTGATGTGTATTTTAATACAGAAAACACTGATTTATGAGTCTATCGTTGCATGCTATATGATTTGAAGGCACTTTGTGCTGCAATACTCGCTAAGAATGCTAGGAGGCTCTCTTGCACCACCCCATGATTTAGGTACGCAGCACAAGGATTTGGGGTGATTCATTGAGGAAACATTAAGGAAGCCAATGGAAGAAATTTTACAGGCATGAAAAACTTACCCACAAAATCTGAAACACCAAACTCATGATGGTCATATTAATTTGCCATTTCTAACCCATTTTAATAAAACAAGAACGGTCAATTCGGCCCACCGCCCTGGTCAACTCGGCCCAACCACCAAATTTACTCATAACGTTATATAGCAAAACACCCACCTTCTAAACATTAGGGAGGAGTAAACGTGTAATAGTACTATTATATAGCTTGTGTCAGTAACTGAAATGGAAACACTGTGGGGAGTAAACGTGCAATATTTTAAATTAATATATGTGAATTGTGGCTTGTACGTACATGTAACTGATTGCTTTTATGGGACCGCTTATTTTGTATTTTATAACCTATAAATACTATTGTGATTATATCGCTCTCTAGACTCTTACTCGATTAAAGTAATAGTAATATTTTAACCCAGAACGTTATATCTTATATGTGGTGATGTTGTGTGGATTGTGTGCACTAGTAGTTACAGTAAACCTATTTAAAAGATCAGTGCAATTCAGTGGTACTGTCAAGGACTACTGTTGGAAATGTTCAATAAACCAGTCATAAAATAAGAATTCGGAGATCTCAAACCTCCATGAAATATATGAGTTTTTGTAAATGTTTTAAACAGTACACTACAGTACAGAACAAAATAACACAGGTTTTTGTTTTTAACAAAAAGCTAATAAATACAGTAGCACCTTTGACCTGAAATATGTCAGGCTGTAATAGATATGGTCAACTCAGTACATATAGCCTATTCCAGACGGAGAACCTCATTAATCAAACCGGTAGGAGCGCTGCCTCCACACGCTTCAATCTAGTATTAGAGAAATAAAAGCGCAACATTTCTCGCCTTTAGGTACTTTGCCGTAGGAACAATGGCGCATTTTCCTATCCAAGATACAGGTGTTTACTGCGTCTTTTTGTCAGACAACTTTTTTGAAGGCCCAAACTCCGGCGCTCAGGTAATCAACATGATGTTTAGAGACCACGTGCCTTTGTCAGACAACTTCAAATGATTGAATTTTGTTTAGATTGTTTGAAGCCCAAAAAAATTGAGTTTTTTAACTGCTGATTAAGGCTTAATCTGTACAAAAGTTATCGCGTGTAGGACCATCTAGCGATTGCTGAAACTAGCCTGGAGGCCAGCCTTTTTGCATTACTTCGGTCGGTCACATTGTTTTGACATCATCATTTCGAGTTATAGGAAGTAATCATGCCTCAACATTTCATGTCTGAGTCGTGTATTACCTATTGTAATGACCTCCTGACCTTGGCCTGGCTTAACGACATTGATTTACGGTTAACCATTTTGTTTTGACGCTTGGTTATTTTGTAACTTTATGTATTGTTTAATGTGTTAGTTTCATTGTTTTCATGTGTAAGTTGTCACAGGGCATTCCTGAAAAGCAGTGTTCTTAAATTGCACTGATTTCTCTACCCTGTAATAATAATAATAACAGTAATAATAGTAATAATAATAATATCAGTAATAATAGTAATAATAATAATAACAGTAATAATGATGATGATGATGATGATAATAACGGTGACTACGTCTAAGAATAATAACAGATAAAAGGTATTGATGTGTCAATAAGGTCGTCAATGCACAGGAAGTAATTACACCCCAATCTCTGATAAATAAAAGACATCATTGCTGTGTGACACTGCTGAAATAAGTTAATAAATAGATAACTGTTAAATGTGGATAAATATTGTCTTAACAGTACTGCATGAATAACGTAATAATCTCAGGGTCTCTACTTGTTATGACCAGAACGGAATCTAAAATTGAAATCTATAAGACGTACACTAGTGACCTTCAACATGGAACCGTGAAAGCACTTTACTGAAATCAGATCACAATAATACTAATACTTGATAGATAACATAGTCTAAAATACGTGACTATCGGAGCATCGGTATTTTTTGGAATTAGCTATAGCTTTGGCCACAAATTTTATGGATAACATCCTCCACAGATTACAAATCTAATGCCACGGGGTGAAAAAAAAAACAAGGCGGGCCAGAAAAGCAAGATTCCTACATTTTCAAATTTCGCCATCACAACCTAGTCTCCACCAGACTTCTTTTGTGGGCTGAATAAATTGTAGAAATCGGCCTAAAAAGGGTATTAATTGGCCAGAGAAGGTAGCCGGCCAGAGAAGCTCCATTTCTCGCGTGCAGATGGAGCTTCTCTGGCCGGCTACCTTCTCTGGCCAATTAATACCCTTTTTAGGCCGATTTCTACAATTTATTCAGCCCACAAAAGAAGTCTGGTGAAGACTAATCACAAACCGTGTTGAGCAAGAAATAGTACACATGTTGTGCTAAATTTACTGACAACAATTTCAACATTCAGCGGGAACATCATATATAAGGAATCAAAGTAAAAGACAAGACAGTAAATCAGAGCCTTGTCTTGTCTGCTCTCTTCATATCTTTCTGCCATCCATGCATTCCGACGTTCAAACATTAAAATTACATAATCACATACATGGAAAATACAGTGAAAACACAGTGAATACATTTAAAAAGACATAAATAGATCAAAACATCAACAATGAACACACAAATCAATATTAACAATTTAAAAACTAGAGGATGATGCTCATGTAACACTTTTGCATTTCTAATGTTGATCACTGTCAGAAGGCAACAATTGTTTTTGTTTTTTTCTCTCCAAAATCAGGCGAAAATGACTGCGCGCCCTGCTGTTAGTGTCATCCATAAAAAGACTTGCTGTGGCCTTACTAGAGTTGCTGCGGCTTTACACCGGCAATAACATCCGGTCTCCACGGACTGTATAATAGCCTAACACAGAGCTCATATTCTGAAACGACCATAAAATCGTTCTGAATTCAGCTCTAAAATAGATGTAATAATTCTTTCAGACTCTGCCCTGATACTTTAAAACTTTAAAAGCATAGTGACCATCTAGTCAGTCACTACAATTCTGACATCGGATCACAATAAATAATGTAACTCTCTGACATTGATACTTTGAACGTAGTCCAAAAACGTGACCACCCAAATAGTTATCCTTTAAAACCTTTTGCAGATAACTTATACGAGCCTGATAACATCATCATCATTGGCAGTCCAGTCTGATAACAGGGTTCTAAATACTTATTTTTCTCAGGTTGCCTAATGGGCAACCTAGGCCAAAAGCTAAGGTTGCCCACTAATATTTCAGGTTTCCTAAGTTACAATGTTTTCATCAAAATCAATCATAAACTTTTCTAACTTAGTTACTTGACGAGGCTATCCTGAGTGCAATATGATAGATAATTTGTATTATGCCTCTTGCATTCGCTGTCCCGAAATAGCGCGTGGAAGGAGTCCCGTTACAAAACAGGTGCAATGGCACCCAGGTAAGGTCGAGGTGGGACTCAATTGATTTCAGAAGCCGTCAGTTGGTCCACTGTATAAAAATTTTAAGGGTAGTTTTTTTAGGCAAAAAAAAAAGACAACTGGCAACCTGGTCCAACCACTAGAAAACGTTAAACATAACTTGCGCGGGGAAAGCAGACCGGGGCCAAGTGTTGTGTTAATGCACACGTGAATCAAATACTAGTACTTGGTCACCTTAGAAAATGATTGCGTCATAGCTTGTTGCATTGGGTCAGTCTTTCCCTCCTGACATCTGTTTGGCTTTCATTCATATGGTTACTGTATCAGGCATCCAACCATCGAACGCACGATGAACCAAGGACGACCCAAGAAGTATTAAATCCGTTTGTTTCGAATTCCCGTCTTTGTTTCTCGTGGCTAGACAGTCTGGCATATTTATGTTTACCGAAGGAAAACATATTGTTTTTGCTCAGTTTCCTCTTCTTCTCCAAACACTGACCTAGTCAACCAGACTGTCTCTGACCATGGTGACCACTGGTGTTGGGTTACATCATGTTGCAATTTTATCGTAGGAGGGATTTAGACTCCTGTTTGACCATATAATTTATATATAATATATATATGTGTGTGTGTGTGTGTGTGTGTGTGTGTGTGTGAATGTGTTTGAGTAATAATTAACAGTGCAGACCATATGTGAAGGTAAACATTATGCATTTGCTCTGCAAATGTTACCTTTCTAGTTACATTGTATGTGTATATGTTCTTATATATGAGGCCTAATCCACCGCTGGAACTGCTGGACAAATCTCAGTGAGGAGTACTTTCTTATTGTCGTATCCTGGCTAGGTTTGTAAAGTTTCCATTAATTAGTTTGTGAGAAGAGAATTGATTTAAAAAAAAAACTCGGACTTGCGTAGGAGGCGACAACACCATGTAGGGTTGCGTTTTGTAGACTCCACACCTGCGACCACCTCTTCATGAACTTGATATTAGTCAAGCAATAGTCTGAAACATGTGACCGTCAAAGCATCTCCGGAATATGAAATACAAAATGTCATTTAATGTCAATTTTGACACCCCCCCCCCCAGTGCTTCCATGCAAAGATATTGAAGCTGAAACCCCATAATGTTTACGCCTAACGCACCTGGTCCCCAGCCGTTGAAAAAAATGTATCTAAGGCCCTGTTCATATGAAGTCAGTGAAGGCGCTTTACATGTGGTTTCCCCCGAAGCCGGTTTCAAGTGACCCCATCTGAACGCTTCAAATCACATTGAAAGCGCCTCGATCCCAAACCACTTCTAGAGGTGGTTTCGAATCGGTTTTCCCGCATCGCGATTTGCGTCTAAACGCAATGTGATTTCAATGTGACTTCGCCTGGTCATGGATTACGGGGTGATATTTCGTTATTTATATGCAATACCAACTTATACGTGGCAGTTTAAGTGTCCGTTCTAGGGCGAGCTTCACCGCCTCTGGCGGGACCACGTCGGCATTCGGCCGAGATACGCTGGGAGGGGGGCACCAGTAAGCAGGTCGTTGACCTCTGACATTAATAACACGCTACCTTGCGTGTTTTCATCAAATGACAATGAATGCAGTTTCGGAGAATCGTGATCGGACACGGTTTGAAAGGAATGTATGGCACGTGGACCAGATGTGAAGAATGCGAGTTACCTGAATCGCGGTTCGGGTGGTTTCATATGAACAAGGCCTAAAGAACGTCTGAAATCGGAATCCACTAGTAAATATTTCATGTATCAGCAGACTTTTAGAATGGCTCTACGCACAGTCTATGTTACAATTCTTTGAAACGTTATACTCAGGTTCTTACGATAATGAGTTCTGAAGCCTTTCAGGGGCTTCCGTTCGCAGGGTAGACAGATAATCACCGTTTAAACTTTTGAAGTACTAATGCTCGTACATTTTACACCTGCGACCACAACATCAGAACGCTCCATGGAGCACAGACCTGTCTCTCAAGATGTGACCTAAAAAGCAAGAAGCACTCGGCCGAAGTGCATGTTTAGAAATCAGCACGGTGAAAAATCAAGTAATCTTGATTCAAGTTGATTGTTTTCTCAATCACTAGGGCATGCGCTATAAAGACAAAAAAACAAGTCGCTTTATGCATTCTATAAGTTTCTAGATGCAAAGAACATGTTATTCAATATTGTCGTTCTTTGAGAGTCTCCGTGAATGATGGTATATCGGTTTCTAAATATCCAACACTGCGCTACAAATTAAACACAACGTGCACGTGATATAGTAAAAAAAAGCTCACTATTCTAGAGTTACTCGATGCAAAAAAAAACGCATGTTCAATATTGTCACAAACACTCATTCTCCCTGAGATAAGGAGGCTTGTCGCCGGCTTTGAAAAGCCACAGCGCCTGCGTCAGGAGCAGGAAATCATATTGGAAAGGCCAGCAGTTAAGCCTTGTTCATGTGAAGTCACCCAAACCGCGATTCGGGTAACTCGCATTCCTCACATCTGGTCCACGTGCCATACATTCCTTTTAAACCGTGTCCGATCACGATTCTCCGAAACTGCATTCATTGTTTGATGAAAACACGCAAGGTAGCCTGTTATCAATGTCAGGGGTTAACGACCTGCTTGCTGGTGCCCTCCCAGCGTATCTCGGCCGAATGCCGACGTGGTCCCGCCAGAGGCGGTGAAGCTCGTCCTAAAACGCACACATTATTTGACTATTACTTCTCTTTAAGTTGCTTCCACGTAAAATTTGGTATTGCATATAAATAAAGAAATATCACCCCGTAATCCATGACTAGGTGAAGTCACATTGAAATCACATTGCGTTCAGAGGCAAATCGAGATGCGGGAAAACCGATTCGAAACCACCTCTAAAAGTGGTTTGGGATCGATGCGCTTTCAATGTGATTTGGAGCGTTCAGATGGAGCCACTTGAAACCGGCTTCGGGGTAAACCAATGTAAAGCGCCTTCACTGACTTCACATGAACACGGCCTAAGACTGATTCGTGCATGTGACCACCTGATGTCAGGGGAGTGCACCTTACCTTCCCACCTACACATTCTCGTTAGGCTGCCAAGCCAGCGTACACAGTAGAACGGTCGCGAACCCAAACATGATTTCTAGTAGTTTCACGACCATAATGTAATTATCCAACAGTATATCGTTGGGTAATTCTAGCCTAGGCGACATGGCGGCTGAACTCGAGTTGCCTCGAGTTGTGATGATGATTCTGGTCGTGATTCTCATCGTGGTTGGGACTATCGGCAACCTGTCTATAATTCTCGTCATCTCTTTGACCAAGGATCTTTGGACCACGACCAACACCTTCATTATTAACCTGGCTGTAGCGGACCTGTTTGTAACGATCATTGTGGACCCGTATAATGCAGTAGGTGAGTACTAAAAACTAGGGATATATCGAATCCAGGACCGTGCCTGTCCAGTTTTATACCTATATGGTTTAGGATATCATTCGAGATTCTGGATAGTCTCCGCGTATCCAAGAACGTAGATTTGCCCCATGTTTTCGGGATAGAGCACGGTTCTGGATACAACGAGAGTGTTTTGTTAATGTGTGTGCCTGCCCTGCGTAGCGAGATTTACCTAAATAGGGAAACAAATTTGCCATGGGGGGTTGACCACCATTGGAGTTCGTCAGCGGGTCACTCCCGACCAATTCTTGGCTATATTGGCCGAATTCTAATTTACTAACCTTCTGCATCCGAATCTGTATAGCCATATAACCGCTCTTCGTCGTAACACAAGCTGTGCATGTCCTTGTCTGTATCACTTCCAAAGACATTTCTGCTATCCTCTGTTTGCTTGTACAACGTGTTGGTGGACAATTAACAGACACTAAAACCAGAAAATAGAGGGAAAACACCCGGAGTAAAAGTTAAAGGCAGAGGGTGAGGATCCCATAGCCACATCAATAACCCCTTAGAAAAGTCTGGTGGAGACGAGGTTTTCAGAGTATGCTATGGATGATTCTCTTTCCAACAAGTGACATTATACTCCGTACCCTGCATCGTGGTACCTTCTCTGCTTGGAGTCCTTTGTTGTCGTTAGGCCAGACCGACTTAATCTTATGGATGACATCCTCAGAAGACCCCCAAACTAGTGCGCGCGGGTGAATAAAAAAATTTCAGCCAAAAATAAAAAATGCTACAAAACCACAGGAATACAAAGATGGTATTGTGAATTTACGGTAGTACATAGCGACGTATGACAAGACCGCACATGCTGGCTTTTTGGCACTGTACTTGAGTTGAGTTATTGAGTCGTGGAGCTTTGGTAGCCTGGATGCCATCCTCAGGAGTTATAACCACCGGCTCCGTATTGTCACTAGCTACTTTGGACCACCCAAGCCTAGAGCCAGGCCAGCGCCTCAGAGGACGTGATCAGGCGAAAATCAATGCGCGCGCGGATGTCATCCGTAAAATTAAGTCGGTGTGGCCTTATCATTTATCATGATCATGCATTTCATGTATCAGCAGACTTTTAGAATGGCTCTACACACAGTCTATGTTACAATGAATGACTGTGCTCCGGAAAACGGTTGTTGTATATATAACGGACTATCCTCGTACGTTATAAATTATATAATGGGCGGGAAAACATTGCTACAAAAAAGTGTGTTATTTCATAAACTTTACAGTAATAATTCAATGGCTGCTGAAACCCCCATAAGGCTTCTTGTACCGTGTAATTTATATTGCTGATGTTTTCCACACCCAAACTTTGGGTACCTGACTTTTTAATGTCCCTTCAATTTGTCGTTGCTTAAAGTCGTTACTTTAGTAATGTCATTTGTCTAATCCTCGTAAATTTGTTGTAGATATTGATATTTACCCTATATAAGCTCACTCACTTACTTAAAAACGTGAATTTTTCTTCTAACGCCTGGTTTTAGTATCACTAGTAATAGCATCAAACCGTAACTATGCATAATTATGCATAATTGTGCATAATTGTACATAATTATGCATAATTATGCATAATGCTTCGAGGGGTTATGCATAATTATGCATAATGCTCAAGGGTTATGATACGTAAAATAATTGGACGAACCCCCAGGGGGTCGCGAATAGCTGCCACATATTTCTTACATCATTTTTACCTATATGGTTTGCGATATTAGCCCATCTGGGTTTAAGGTTGCTGATATATGGGAGGTTGTCCGGAATTGAACTGGAAATCTGGAATTAAACTGGAGGCTGTTATCAGTAAATTGTCCGACAACATATTCTATACAAGCAAACGGAGGATGCATGGAAGCCACACGGCCAAACATTTTACATAGAAGGACATACGTGTAAACATGTAATATACTATGTAATGTTGATTGTGAAATCGGCCTGCAAACCGTAGACATTGATACCTGTAATCAAATATGAACGGGATTACAAACATCAGCTGCCTTGTATTAACGACCTGATATCATTACAATCACCCTGGGATTGTCACCCGTCTACGATATGTGTTCATTTACTGTCTGATTGAAGACTTAAATGGTGAAACGGACTATCTTTGTACGGTACATTATATAATGAGCGGACAAACATGGTTAGAATAGAGTTTGGTATTACATAAACTTCACAGTAATAATTTAAAGGCCGATAAGGTGATTTTGTGTTTATGTTTGCCTCTAGTATTACAATATCAAAAGCATCTGAAAAGACTGTTCTCTAAATTTCCAATGAACGAAGGATCTGACATTGGATTGTGCTTGGCTATAAAAGTGAGCATGCTTCGAGTTCAACAGAAAAGAGGGGGTGATATTTCATTAGACACATATAAGTGCACATATTCTGCATTTCCTGACTATAGGGGTTCATTTTAGTGCGCATATTCTGCAGGTATTCTGCATTTCCTGATTAAAAGGTTCATTTTAGTGCACATATATTCTGCAGATATTCTGCATTTCCTTAATAAAGGGTTCATTTTAGTGCACATATTCTGCATTTCCGGACTAAAAGGTTCATTTTAGTGCGCATATTCTGCAGATATTCTGCATTTCCGGACTAAAGGGTACATTTTAGTAATTAGTGAGACGAGCTAATGCCGATGATGATGATGACTTTGATTAAGGTAACAGCCAGCCTGACTATGTGGTGTTGTGTAATACCAGATGATATGTGTAAATGTGTCACACTATATCCAATTATCTGTTGACATGGCTCTTTATTATGAAATTAGAGCGTCTGCTTCATATTTGGGAAGGGCTTTTAACGTCCGCAAGTTTATTAACGTTTATACGGTTATCTTTGTATCATGTGTCCTTTTCGTTGACATGAAGGTTATCTTAAGGAAGATCATCCTCTCTCACTTTGTTAATGATAGCTTGACGTCTTTTAATCGCTTTGGATAAGCTACACTATGGCGCAGGAGAAAAGGTAGGGTTTTCGTCGGCGTTACACCAATTTGTGCAAATCATACACATTTGCCCAGGATACTAAGTATGACATCACTATTGATAGGAAAATTCTCATTATCTGAGGTAGGAGAACGTGCGTTTTGAGCTTTGGAAACCCATGTTATGTCTCTATGACCACCGTTGCTGAGGATAATATACTGGAAATACCTTTATTGTACATTCATGCCATGACGGGCTAGGTACAGGTCAAGACTTAACAGACACATAGCAAACGTATGTAGAAAAGTGGAGACAAAAGATACACTACTCGACTTAGACATACATACATACATAAGGAACATACAATGGTAACTATACTAGGCTAACACAAAGTGTTCTAGTCACTGAGCTAATATAGAGAGGTCAACTTCTTCTCCCTTTTTTGTACAGTGGAAAATGTGTGAACAGATCATGTTTGTGATACAGGGTTTGTCTAGACGCATCAAAATATAAATCTATCATTTCCACTTAGGTGTTCAAAGTATGGGAACTTCTCTTTGATATGACTAAAAAGGACAAATCTTCATTAGAATATAAAGCACAGTCTAAAATAAAGTGTTGTTCATCTTCTATTCTATTCATGTTACGGTTATTGAAAAGGTCCTGCTGATAGACCCTATGAAGGGAATGGTAGGGAAAATTAATGAAATGATTGAAGAGGATGATAAAAGAGGTAGTAGACATATTTTAATAATAAACCTAAATTCTGCATTCTTTCTTGTATGGTGACTTACATATGATTGATAGTTTCAGTGGACGCACTTGTAATGGTTGCTTAGGCTACACCAAGTAAATTTTATTTATATTTAAGACGGGCCCTAAAAAACAAGATGCCTGGATTAGAAACAAACCAAGAGACGACAAATGTTAGGACACAAATTGAATGAGGTGACACAGTGTAACAAGCAAGAAGTCTTATTCATCATCAAAACAGCAATAAATCAGGTGGAACAGCAGATGTCGTCCTGTCCTGTTTTCGCGTTACGGGTTTCACGTCAATCTGACGATTTGCGGCACTGTCGTGACTCTTTGGTCATAGTTACAGGAAGCGGAATTTCTTGTTGTTTTTTTCTAGGAACAGGCCAAAATCAATGCGCGCGCGGACGTCATCCATAAAGTTTACATGGTGTGGCCTTATAGAGAAAGGTGGCATTCAAATTAATTTCCTCGTTTGTTACCTCCTGGTACGGAGGTATTGTACATGTTTTCGGTATATTCGTGGGCAGTGTGTGGCCAATAGTAGCAAGAATTGTCTCCCCGGGGACTGAAGGAAATAAATGATACAAATTACAAAGGTCACCTTATTTCCTCAAACCAGTTTAGTGCTATATCCATGCCTTATGAGTGCCGGAGGGGGGGG